TCCATGCAAACTCACTTGCAAAAGCTTCCCCCAATGGCAGCAAATTTGAGACGCGACGACGACACACGACGAGAGACGACGACAGACGACGAGAGACGACGACAGACGACGAGAGACGACGAGACGACGCAAGCCACGCAAACATAGCTCCAACCCCCAGACCCCCAACTATAAACGGGAACCCTTCGCTACGGATTCGGGAAAAAACATGAAAAAGAAACGAAAAATAAATGAAAAGCAAAAACGAAACGAAAAAAACCTGAAAATGTTTGTTCGCTCAAAAATCGCAATTTTCCTCGAGTTTTTCTTTTTTCTTTTTTTTTCGTTTTTCGTTGCTTGGTGGCCGAAACTAGCCGAAACTAGCCAAAACGAAAAAAACGAAAAACAAATGAAAAAAACTCGAGGAAAATTGCAATTTATGAGCGAACAAAAAGTTTCTCTTTTTTTCTTTTTTTTCGTTTCGTTTTTGCTTTTCATTTTTTCTTGTTTTTTTCGTTTCGTTTTTTGCTTTTCATTTATTTTCGTTTTTTCATGTCTTTTTCGTTTTGGCTAGTTTGCGCCGCAAATCAACGATAGTCAGGTCCAATTCACAAAAGCTAAAGCAAAATAGAAGGAAATGTGTGATCCACCAGCAAAGAGGTTTCAGGACTAGCTCACTTGGCCGCTTTCCTTCAGGGGAGGCAATTGCAATTGAGCTCCAGCATTCTTTTGTCTTTCATGATCGCTTTGGCTAGTTTCGGCCACACATTGGCAACATTGTAATTTAATTCATGTGTTCACGTATATAATTTAGTCTGCTCATGTTGTTTTAAGTTCAGATAGTTTCGGCAACGCGTGAACGACAGTTTAAGTACATTTCACAACAAGGCTCATCTAGCTTGAACCGGGTGTCTTCCAAATAGCAAGTGGGTTTTTGATTTGGAATAGAACCTTGTTGTCAAGTTTCTTGCTGGCTCCGTTAAAAGCATGTAACGCAGCCATGTAGTTTATTTGGTCCTGCTTGGGAGCAAAGAGCTCTAAGAATGAGGCAACATCCACATGCGCCTGATACACTCAAGACTGGCCTATATATACAGTCATGGAACTTCAAGAATTTAGATTTCTTCGTAGTGGGCAGCCATGCCAGCGTGGAGATATGATGATGATGTAGACGTTACGTGTGAAGAGTCTGCAGAGACCATCTCCTTCCTCACAACCACGAACATAATCCACCACTTCTGGCGCCACAGCCAAGCACCACTATTTCAAAAGTTTCGCGCCACATTTTGATAGAGCTTTCGCTTCAAGATTTTTAAAGCACTTGCATGGAGAACGTGGACCTGTTGGAGCTGCAAAAAGAAAGGCTTGACTTTGACCGGGACGTTGCAACTTCAATAGGTCCAACTCGTACTTCACACTATTTGCCAGATCTTTCTCGACCCTCTGCGGAGTCATTTGTTGATGTAGGTCTGCGCGGCCCCGAGGATTGCCTAAGCCAGCTGGAAGCACCAACCACTGCGCTTATATGCTGATTGCTCAATATGCCCAGCTTGGACGTGAAACTTTCTCGGTTTGACATTTACCTTGTATTGGTGCTCAGGAGCGGAGGCTCAACGATCTTGGATTGGAAGATTATAATTGGAGCAGTCGGATGCAAGCCCCTGAAGCTTGTAGGTGCAATGTGCGCCCGAAGCTTCAGTGCCTTGCGCCCGGCCAAGCTCGATCAATGGGGCCTTGCAGGAATGAATGAGTTGGAGACGGAAAACCCGTCACAATTTTGCCAGCCAAATTGATTTGGCCGGGAAAACCCGTCACGTTGCAGACCGGGGCCCCAGCCCCAAAATGTGATGGGTTTTTTGAAAAACCCGTCGCAATTAAATAAGGAAAACGAAAACCCGTCAAACTTTCCAGCTCATCACCAACTTCAAAAAGTGATGGGTTTTTCCAAAACCTATGGAATTGTGATGGGTTTTTTAAAAAACCCATCGCTTTTCTGGGGCCAGCCGAGCTTCCAGATTGTGATGGGTTTTCTGAGCAAAACCACTCAGCCAAATGGATTTGGCCACCAAAAATGTGATGGGTTTTTTAAAAAACCCGTCGCAATTTGACCAGCCAAATCCATTTGGCCGGGAAAACCCGTCACAATTTGACTAGCCAAATCCATTTGGCCAGGAAAACCGTCAAAATATAGCCAGCCAAATCTTTTTGGCCAGGAAAACCTCGAACACTTGGTATACCTAGGGTCCAACCGCTTTGCACTTGGAGTAATGAGGTGTTGCAAAACCTGTTTGGCATAAAGGACTTGTCACGATTTTACTGTTAAATTGTGTTGGTTCAGTAAGGACACCTCAGTTTCCAACAAAGACCAAAGCAGAAGGGCCGGGGCTTTGAGCTGGGTGCGCTTAACCTTGGTAGGCTATTTGACTGCCAGCTAGCTGGCAGCCGGTGTGCTCGTTTACACAACCTGTTTGAGTTTGTGGTGTGTGCTTCTTGAAGCTTTAAGCTTCTGGAGGGCTTTAGGACGAGGTGAGAGTTGTTCGAGTAAAACGGTCGCGTCCGTTGGTTGCCTTGAAGCTTCGTGATTCTTAGAGCCGCAACTTGTTGAGGCGATGTGGTAGCGGGGGGACAATATCGCGTCACATGGACGATCAAAGTGAAAAATAGCATAAGCGAACATTCAACCTTTTGACCTGCTGGCTTGGTTGCAATGTGCGCATGGAGCCTGGTAATTGAACTTGGTGCTATTTGCTATCATTATGGTTTTGAATGGGATGCCACGTGATGCGTGCAAGTGCTGATTGTTTGCAAATTGCAACAAATTCTGCGAGTCCGTGGAAAAAGCTGCCAGCTTGTGCTTTGGAGTTTACCGGACGGGTAGAAATTTGGACACCCACTCGCTATTTGGAGGACACCCGGTTCAGGCTAGATGAGCCTAACAGCTAAAGCAAAATAGAAGAAAGTGACTAGCCGACCAGGGTAGCAGCGGGTAACAAAGAGGGTTCAGGAGTAAGTGACTTGGCAGCCTTCGCTTCAGGGGACGCAAACGATAAACGCAATCGCGTGAAAAAACACGGGTGGGCGTGTAAAAAATGATGATGCAAACGAAAACACACATTTACATGAAAAAAGACACAAATGGACATGAAAAAATGATGATGAAAACGAAAACGAGATGAAAAAATAAATGTTTTGTCCACCCCCAGTCTGTGGCTGTAAGATTCTCATAAATCCAGTTCCTATACTCGTGAGCATGAGGGGCGCCTACGATCATGGCGCTTTGAAACGCAGCTTTGTTTCACAGGTTTTTCTCACACCCGTACCTACGGCGCGCAAGGAAGAAGAAGAAGAAGGAGCAGAAGAAGAAGATGATGATGACGCAGAAGAAAAACAAGAAGAAGAAGAAATCAAGCTGGCTGACCCCAGCTGCACGGCGGCCACGTCAACGTCCGGCCACAGGCTGCCGCGGCCGCCGGCTGTCGGCCACAGCCCCCGGGACCGCCCCCGCGCGCGGCGGCCACCGCCGGCCACCCGCCACCCAGCACCACCACCGGCCTCCGGCCACGCCGATAAATCGACCATCGCCGCCGCCGCTTCTCTTGCATTGTGCTGTTTGGTTGCGGGAGCGCGGCGAGACTATGTCAGTGATGTGCGCCGTGCAGTTGGCGTGGTCGGGGAAAGTGTGTTTAAGCGGCTCTGGGCCGTTGGGGAACGGGAAACATGCGTGTGTAAACACGGCGCATCGCTGGCGAGCCGGATGATTTCTGGTGTCTATAGGAGGCTTGGTATTGGTTGAAGGATGTTGCGAAATGACGTCTGTGACGTCGCGGTGCCATGCTCATTGTCATGAGTAAGGATGAAAAGCTACTGTAAGAGGTTGACGTTGTTGGACATGCAGGTGATCACCCAGTTGCTATACATCCACTGAGCCGGATGGGTAAGGCTTGGTGAGCGAACGCAAAAATGAATTTTCCGCAAGTTATTGGGATGTTTTTTGAAACGAAAACGTCTTTCGATGGTATGGGTAGCAGTTACCCTTTGCACAACTCAACTAAACATCATGTTCACATACATACATACATACATACATACACGACATCACCATGCACAACATCTTTACAATACACCATTCCCACTTCCAACGATTTACTGCAATGCATCAGATTCACTCCACACTCGATGCACACTCTGACATTGGTTTTCAGCTAACTCAATTGCCACGATGGGAAGGAAGGTGAGAAACGGTATGGTGGAGAGTCCGCAATACTTGAAGATGTTTTAACAAAAGCTGTTTCGCAAGTCTGCAGGACTCAACGGCAAACCTCTGGGGCCTGGAGGTCTTGAAGAGGAAGCAAGGCCAAAAGCTCAATGCGTGACTGCAGAGAAGGTTTTAAAAATTGAAAGGCAGGTACGTCAGTGCTGGCCGGGGACTGATATCACATCCACTTGGCGCGGTCTTTGTTAGATGAGGCACACCAAGGGATCCTCATCCCCCTGCGTCTTTTTTTGCGCGCTTTGTACATGTAAAAAAATTGACAAGCTGTACGCTAATAGCGATACTAGGAGCCTTTAGTAGCGAAAC